GCTTATGTCTGGATTTGGATTGGAGCACTGAATGGCTTGTCTGATTTCTAGCCATTCGCTGTAGCCATAGTTGCTTAGATAGGAGGGGTACTCGGTCACGGCTTCAAGATTGTCCCTTATGATGAGCATGGAGAGCAACATCCTACCATATTTTAATCATTCGCTGATGCAGACGCTCTTGATTGGGTGAGGAATGATTCTCTTGTTCATGCTTGCTTCGCTCCAACGCTTGTCCCACTCAGCCAGCTTCAGGTTCTTCTCGTACTCAACTTCTGCAAGAGATAGAAGCTTAGCTTGGGCTTGGACAGCAGTCACTTTGTTTTTGGACTTTCTCTTGGGAAGAACTTTCTCAACTAGAGACTTGACCAGCTTTAGGTTGTCCTCAGTCTGCTTTCATTGAAGTTCTAGTTCTTCCTCAGCTCTTAATGTCTCGAGTCTTTCAGCTTCTGTCAGGAAGTTGAACTCACCACCACTAGAGGTACGAAGATGGATTTTTACTCTAGTCTGGTTGAGTGACTCCCTGAGCTGAGCCATCTGTTGGTTGGTGGGAGTGCTGGGGATAGGGTTCTCAGCGACCCATTCCAGCCGATCGCAGGTAGTGAATGGTATCTTGAGTTGATACATTGAAGTGATGACTACCTAATTGGTGGAGTCTTCATATAAGGGTTCAGAGGTTTGGAAAAGTACCTTTAAATTTCCTTCTTCAGCAACGCCTTTGCCTTTCGACGAAGGGCCCTAGTTCCTTTCAGGCACTGACTCTTCTTCCCTTTGCTCCCATGGGATGCGGAATCCCTGAGGGCAACTCCTTTGGTGGCAGTTGTTGGATGCTGAAACTGGATGGTGAAGTCATCTTCATCATCATCGTCGTCGTCATCATCTAGATCGTTGTCGGAGTTAGAGAGATCAAAAGAATCACCTTCCTCGTCATCATCTTCATCTTCCACATCACCAGCAATTGGTGCAGAGTTGATGGCAAGGTCATCATCATGAGCTTTCGCTCGAATGGCATCAACAACCTCAGCTATAGTAGCTTCATTGAGGTTGGAATATCGCAGGCAACCTCAGTGTCAGCTTCAGCTCTAGGAGCTTCAGCTTCGTTGGTTGCTAGAGCAGTAGTTTCAACAGATGGTCCAGCAGAATTGGACCTTATCTCCCCTTCTCTAGCTAAGGCTTGAGAGCATATGCCAGAGAGTTTGTCTACGTTATGAATCTGGAGGACCATCATCTTCTCCAGCCGCGTCAGAGTGTTGGCCAGGCTGTTCGTTGCTTCGCTCATCTCATTAAGCTGAGCGCGGTCAGTAGCGGTGAAGGATGGAGGAGTCACTGGTGCTGGTTGGCGAAGAGCGATCAGGACTTGTTGTAGGAGCTCTACCTGTTGAAGAGACTGAGCATATACTTCATTAGCGCTGCTTATGAGACCAGCTATGGCTTCAGCATTAGCTCTTAATGCCTCTTGAAGAGAGGAGAGCTGGCTCTTGACATCTTGGACTTCAACCTTGACAACTGAGAGGTCCGCAGCAACGTCTTCCTTGCGAGGCATGCCCTTATGGACTTCATCCAGCACCATGTCATACTCCTCTTCTTCTTGGTTCATGGCTTGAGCCTCAGACGGACCTGAAAGTGAAGAAGTGAAAGGGTAGGAAGATGGAATACCTGAGGGGTCATCAGTGATATCTGAAGGATTATTGATACGCTCCATGGTGCACTTATGAGGATGAGCACCAGTATGCTGAGGAGCCTGGAGAGGAGCTACCTCAGGTCCAGTGGTGAACGTCTCATCATCAAGGAGGACGGACACTGATGATCCATGGACATGTGTAGAGACCAACGATGGAGGGGAAGAGAAGATGGCTGAGGGAGTTTTGGGAGTTCAGCGGTACCGGTGCTGATATTCATACCTTCGGTGATTTGAGTCACTGAGGCAGTTCGGGTAGGTGCCACTGATATGACAGTGATGTCAGGGATCACTGAAGAGCTAGGGAGAATAACTAAAAGTGCCTCGTGGGTAAGGCTAGTTTCAATAGCTGAGACCTGTAGAGAGGTCACAGTCAGAGATGTGGCTATCCCCTTTTTGGCTTTCTTGGCTCTCTGAGGAGAACCAAGAGTTGGTTGTGAATGACGTTTGAAAGAAAAGGTTTTGGTGGCTGGGATAGACGCAGGGGGGTTTGCCTTTGTCTTCACCATCTGAGGAGGAGAAGGAGGGAAGGAAGAGAATTGCACTACTGAGGATAGTGCAACATCTCCACCCTGAACTTGTGATCCAGAATCCTGGATCCAAGCCTGCAAATCGGGAGGTTACCTTTCTTGAAGTATTTTTTACCTAAGATCTTGGAGAAAACCATAGAAAGGAACCTGGTGTAAGGAACCACTTTCTCTCATTGGCGTTTGTTCAGCTTCAGCGTTAGGTCATCGAAAATGACATTAGCATAGTTGATCTGGCAACGTTGAATCGTTGAGACACCTATGGTGAGAGCAACCCTGAAGGCCTGATCTTGTCCGC